TGATGTCTATAAGTGAAAAACGAATAAACTCGGCTCGGTCCGTACCATGTAAGATTTTGTCTACAACAGTTAAACAGTCATGCAGGTTGAGTGAGACTGTGTGGGTTCTTGCATGTCGGCACTAAAAAGGCTTTGGTGTTTCAGATAAGACGTGTACTGCTGGTGGGCGAGGGTATCCACCATTCTTCGCACGACTGCAACAGGGGTAATTAACCCGAAGTTCGAGGCGAGGTGAGTTGAGATCAGAGGGCAGGACGAACCGTGCCGAGCATGGTAGCAGCTTTAACTTTCGCCACTAAATTCTGCTGTTGTCTTGGCTTGCGCTACTGGACGATAGGGTAATGGCTCACACAAGAAGCTCCGCTTATTTTGACTTCTAATCCCAGGTATCCATCCATTCAAATGGGTCGGGCCAATTAAAAAAAAAGTAACGCGCAGCCAACGAGGGTGGGGCAAACGCCTCCGCTTCCATTGAACATTGTAGCTGACACTTTTCATGGTTCCTACCTTGGTCCTTTGGTAAACAACATAACCAGCATTGACCTCTTTTGCCACATGCCATTTGAATTCAACGGCTTCCGTGTAGCATTAACCAGTTAGGTTGACGACACACAGATGGCCGTCACTGGACCATGCAGCAGGCTGTGAGATCTGCGGCGATTCTTGGAGACGGCAATTTTATCGGCGCCTATATGCAAGTTCCTCTTGAATACGCGGTCTTTAGTTTCATTTTGTAATTCACTTGTTTTGCGACACATGAATTATTGCTTCCGTGGAAAGGGTTTACATTCCCAGCTTACACAAACGAAATTTAATTCTGCATAATCGCGCAAGTAGCATTGTTGGTTATCATGTCGGTTTGGCGCATTGCAAACCTGTTTTAAAAAAAAAAATAAGCTTATTTAACATCGTGAATATTGCAAAGCAGAAATTGATACCCGCATTGCATAGACAAACTTTTTCGAACCTGACCTCTGGAATGGACATCCTGTTTACGCTAGCAGATACCCCAATAGTAACTACAAGAAAACACGCCACGTTAATGAAAAGTCACCGACAACGGTTTGTTGTCGTATGGGCCACATGATCCCCTAGTCTGTAGAATGTTTTTCAACCCATCTACCCCTAATCAATGTTGTTGAAGAAACAAAAAGGTGCATTGAGATGCTACATGGATCATTTTTTAAGTATACCATTCTTCATCATAGATGTGTCATGTGGCTGGTGTGTGTGGTGCGTGTGTGTGTCATGTGCGTGTGCATGTTGTTTGCCGCGTACGTGAACGTGCGTTACTATATTACAACCATGTGTGGCGTTTTCACTCCATAAAGACGGCTCTATCTTTCGACCGCGCCGACCTGCAACACGCTTGCTTAGTCTGGTTGGTGGCCAGAACTAGATCCTTGGGCTTGCATCTCTCGGACCAGGCCCTTGCCCTTCCCAGCCAGCGTGAATGTTGATAACATCGTGTGAGTGGATTACTTTTCCAGTTGGACAGTAGTGACCAGCCGCATGCTGCCTTCGGCTACGACCATTATTTCGCCTCCCTTGTTGATTTCTACCAATGACTAGCTCAAGCTGCTATTGGGCTTTGTGATATATTTTTTGTTTTTGTTTCTAATTCCACCTCTTAGTATGAGTGCCGGGACTGACGTTTATAATTTTTGGGGTGAACGTAAGGTTAGGCGTTGCTGGGCTACAAAGGGGGGGGGGAGGAGGCGGCACTCCCGGTTGCCATTAGAAGGAGTGTTCCACATTGATAGTTGGGTTTTGAATTTAAATAGCCTTTCCGGAGACCTTTCGGTGTGTCCATTCCTGCTGTTCTTAACACCCAAGCCCTTGTAATATTTCTGCCACACGCCCGCAAAAATGGGAAGGGTATATCCGGGAGAGAATACCAAAATTAACTTGGCATTCATAACGTCATGGTAGCGTCATTAAAGTCCTGCCATTTCATAAGCCATGGAACGACCAATGACAAGAAAATGACAACTTTCGATGCGTTATACATTCGTGAGCGAGATTTCCAGATAAAACGACCGTCAATTGACTTTCATCCAATGTTGTGCAAGGTATGATGACGTAATCGCATAACGACGCATTGAGGAGCATGTCTCCTAAACAGTGAATTGTGCTGCCTAGGGCAGTCTTTTCCATTACAAAGCATAGCAATAGTTTTAAGTGAGCTGCTTTCATCATCTCCACTGCTCGCTTCAGCATCTTTAAATGTGAAACGTTTCTCTTTAGCAGGTAGTCGCTAGACAAAAAAAGACGATCCTGGAAACAATGTGCGCGTGGTTTTTCTGACATGGCATGATCGTTAACACGCCATCGGGTGGGGGTCAAGTCGACCCCCTCAAAGGTTTTCCAAAATGGTTTCCGAACAGCGCTGCGCAGTCATGCCAAATTTTTGATAGCTATAAACAACTGAATAAAAAATCGTAGACATCACAAATTGAGATGTACCTTGCAAGGTCGCTGACCTATGGCAGGTCAAAGTCAGGCCACGTTTTCAGCGAAGGAAATTTCTAGGGAATCGTTCAGTCTGATCGAACAACGGAGCGTTGGACGAAGCCATACATCTCTGATATACTTTCTTTGGCAACAATTGAATAAACAAATTACATCAACTTAGGGTCAGGTATAAAGGTGAAACCAAGGTCAGAACCAACCTGATTTATTACTATAGAGTTTGCTGTATGGATGAGTTCCTGGGGCCCATTTTGAAGTCATTGATAGCAGGAACCCCATTACATACCCTCAATAGACATTTTAAAGGTCAGAATAGATCAATGACCTATGACTACCCGAGTGAACATTTTGTTTTTAAGAACATACTGCTTAGCATAATCTTTGTCGCTTATCCAAATGCAAAACTCAAAGCGGCCTGTGTGATTTTGGTCATCATGACCTTCAAAAAGTCAAACGAGGTCAGTGACCTTAGATGAGCAAGTGACCTTTTGCTCAAAACAGTTATCCAGGTTTTACGAGCCCTTTGGAGACAAGCTTGGAATTTTACCATGTTTCACCTTATTTGACCTAAAGGTCATGGCCCAGGATTCTCAATTTTGACCTAAGTGAGTTCACGTACAGGTCAACATACCCTGTGAATTTTTTGTCTTTAGCTCTCCAAGTTTCTGAGATCTCAGTGCAGTCAAATTGATTGCCACACGAGCGATGGCTATCCAGCCGGCCACCCGGACGCGTGTTAATGCTGGTGCGGCGAAGCTTTGACTTGGTGAAGACGGGCGCCAACTCAGTCAGATCCTTGAGTCGCCCACCGTCATGTTTATGAATAAGATTCTCCGATACTTAAATAGGGGACAAATTGGGCGTTATCATGGATCATGCATCGTCATGGACGTCAACCGCTGGGCTTAGCTGCATCTTGTACTTGAACTTGAATTTGCACTTACGGCGGGCTTAGCCTTGGCGATCACCCAGGCCAAGCTGACTTCCGTTCGATGATACTAACAGCCATTGTGGTGTTTGAAAGCAAGTTTTAACATTTTGCAAGCAATCACTTCTCGGGTATGAAAGAAAAACAAGACAGACATCAACCAGACGCTGACAACATGCCACATTGGCTGGAGCAATAAGGAAGAGCCCTCTGTGTCTGCGGCAAGTAACGCTATATTGTTTTTTGTTCTGAGGCCTTAGATCAGTAAAACTGAATTGTCGTTTCATCTAACGAAGACGGAAGTCCCGATATATTAGGGCTTCTTTCCTCTCATTATAATGCTTTTGATTTTCTGTGTTTGTTTGTTTTTTAGAGCTATGCTGCCTCAGTGTTTTGGACGTAATCAAACTAACTTCGCACAATGAATGGTTGTTCTTTGGCATAAGCTTGACCGGACCAGATGCACTTGTTCCACGTGTGCCAGCAGCGATGAATCACTCCACAGCGGCGCTGGTTCGAACTCGGCTGCGGCTGGCCCTTCCTGAGACGCGTCGTCACTGTTAACTTCTGAGCAGGGGAGGGCCTCGCAAAAGCAGATCCAGGGGAGAAGGTTTCGATGGTGTTCTCCCGTCGAGGACAGTTCAGGGTACCGGTATAGCAGCGTGGACCTTAAAGTGCAGGATACTGCCATGTTAAATCGATGTCAGGATTTGGTAGGACCGTACCCCTGGTGGTTTCTACTTGACACCATAGAGCGTCAGCATCGTGTGATCATTACGCTTAGGCAGCAAACAGTAAGAAGGAACTCTGTTGCTGCATGTGGCTTACCGAGGCATATCTCACAGGGCACTGTTTTGTTAGTAGTGCAATGAGATACAATATGCAATGTGCAATGAGAGAATTACTATCCCATACCTACCGATGCAATACCAACAAGCATTGATTTCAGACGTAAGGTGTGTATGTTCGTTTCTCGTGGTGACCATCGAGACATGGGTTATCGTGCCAAAAGCAGACCCGTGGCACCAACTTGCGCGTTCCTACGAGGAATCGAGTGCCCTTGAGCATCAACCGGTCCAGCGCCCAGGTTCAGAGCTGGCCTGTGGGTCTGACCGCGCAGCCGACGTCCGGGCGTGGCACACTCTCGTCCGATTTTTGCCGTGCTAAGGCACAGGACGGTGGGGCTTCAGTGAGGGAACCCTTGCCAGCAGGGGATTCTGAACAAGACGAGAAGCTGACCGTCCGCCGACAAGGAAACGGTGTAAAAGCGTGTACCTGGTCAGGAAGGAAGGCTGTATTCAACGTGAAGACCCCCCGATGGATGAAGGACGCATCGCATGAGTAATGGCACGCACTCAATGTGCCGAAGAAAGATACCCCAGCACTGTTAAGTTCCATACTAGCCCGCAACGAAACCTGATGCAACAATGCAAGTAGTAACAACCGTCACGACAGGTGAGAAAACAAGCGGTCTAGTGCACGAGACTGGAGTACATCCTGAACAAAGCTGTCGTCCTCTATTTTCCGTAGAGGTTCCGATGATGTTCGTGTAGATGAAGAGCACAACCCATCGCCTCAACCAGTAGTGGCCGTAGTATCCTGGCTTCCTGAAGAAACGAGGCCTCCAGTAGCGGCGCCTGCAACGACACATGAGTTGAAATAGTTGTACAAACGCACTGGACGATGAAAATCAGTTGAAGTTCTCCATTCTTGTCATGACTGCGTGATATCGATTATCTTGCGCGCACTACGTTTAACCCTGTCCAGCTCATGTCACCTGCATTTCAGCTGGTGAACCTAGCAAGGAAATTCATAACAAACCTGCTGATCGTCCCCCCCCCCCCCCCCTCCCCCGATTATCAGCCATGCTCGATTATTTGGTCAAATAGTTTGTACGCACGTGCGTGCAGTCCTTGATTTGAACGCGCCAATCCATAACTACTTGATAAACATCGAAACCAACTGACTTAGAAGACAAAGTCTTCTGCCTGCAACCGAAGCCTGCAACTTAGAAGACGAAGCGCGCTCTGTTCCAGTAGAAGGCTGTCAACTGGTCCCGACACCTGACACGGGGCGTGTCACTGCATGATATGCATGTGGGTACCTGTGGTAGCGCGGACGCCAGTAGTGTCCGTAGAAGCGCGACTCATCGCTGGCCAGGTCAGCTTCCTGCAGATCCTCGGCGACAGAAACAGCCACATCGGCATCAGCTTCAACAGGCACAGACTCTTCGGCCCAGCTTACCGCTAGGACAGCGACCAGCAGTGCAAACAGCAGCGTCTGTAACAAGGACACGCGATGTGGAATGCGTACATCAGGCTCACTGTGTTGGGTAAGTGAGTAGGAGAATAAAACAATTTTTACCTTGCCAAGGAGATGAGGTTGACGTAGTGGCAGATGTCAGAATTTGCCATGCAACGGGCAGCGTGGAGCAGTAGGTACGGGAAACGCATGAGTTCGAGTTAGAGGATTTTCAACTACAAGGCATGAACTAAATTTCCCAATGCTGGCTAGTTAGTCCTGAGTCACTATGAACAGTTTTATACAAAATGCAATTGTTGACTTACCAGCTTCATACCGATTACACCGAGATCGTCTTTTGGCCAGATGAAGTCTTCTCTCTGATGGAGGGAGACGCAGCAGGACTGGTTATATACCCGAAGAAGATGACCGGCAGCATAACCCCGCCCATTCCCGGCTCGTTGGACCGGAGCCCTGAGGCACTCTTCTACGTCACAAGGCGACACGTGGAGCCGCGAGTTTGGGCGGTGGATCATCTTTGATTTGCATATCCGGTGTGTCTGAGACCCCGCCCGGGACCGAGGAGGGTAGTTCCCCGCGCTCTCAGGCCCATATAGAAAAACATCTGTTGGACTCGGAGGGCGCTGTCCACAGAGCTAGCGCGAGCGTGAGGGTACATCTGCAAGTCGGCACGACGGTAATTCAGAATTGTGGACATGGAAAAACATTTTTTACTTTGCCGGGGAGATGTGGTTGACGTAGTGGCAGATGTCAGAGTTTGCATTAACTGCATTCAAACTGCATTAAAACTGCGTTCAAAGTTGCATTAAAAAGCTCAGAAAGATCGTTTTTGGGGGCATTTTATTTTTCGCGACAGTCTAATGAACTCTTTGGCTGTGTGTGTGTGTGTGTGTGTGGTGTGTGTGTGTGGGTGTGTGGGTGTGTGGTGTGTGTGGTGTGGTTTGGTGTGTGTGGGTGTGTGTGTGTGTGTGTGTTGTGTTGTGTGTGTGTGTGTGTGTGTGTGTGGGTGTGTGTGTGTGTGTGTGTGTGTGTGTGTGTGTGTGTGTGTGTGTGTGTGTGTGTGTGTGTGTGTGTGTGTGTGTGTGTGGTGTGTGTGTGGGTGGTGTGTGTGTGTGCGTAACCTGTGTGTGCGTGTGGGTGTGCATGTCGGGTTTGCGTGTACGTTAGGTTGTGTTACTCCACTATGACCATGTGTACGTTTTCACCCCGTAAACGGCGGCTCTGTCTTTTGATCGCTCTCCTGCAATAAGCTTGTTTAGTCTGGTTTGCGGCCAAAACTGAAGCCATGGACTAGCATCCCTACACCAGGCGTCTGCACTTCACAGCCTGCATGAATGTTGGTACTAATAGTGTGTGAGTGGGTGACTTTCCTGGTCGGACATTAGCGTCCAGTCGTATGCTGCCTTTTGCTACGACCGTGAGTTCGCCTTCCTTGCTTATTCCTGCCAATGATTAACATAACCTGCTGTTGGGCTTTGCAATTTCGTTGTTTCTTTTTGCTTTTACTTCCAACTCTTTCCTGGGAGTGCCGCGAGGAACGTTTATTATTTTTGGTGTTAACGTAAGGTTCGTTGTGTAACTGGGATAAAGGGGGAGGGGGGGGGGGGGGGGAGGGGCAGTCCTGGTCGCCTTGGTGGCCACTTGCGGGCTCCACATTGCATGGGATTTTAAACTTAAATAGTCATTTTAGGACCCCTGAAAGATGTTCACAACCCTGTCCTTCGAGGCCTAAACTCCTGTAATTTCTGAGCTATACGCTCTCGATATGGGGAAAGGTGTATAGCGGGGAGTATTTCAAGGTAATCTTGATATTCATGACGTCATAGTAACGTCATTCAAATCCTGCCATTCCGTAATCCACGGCGATGACGGCCAAGAAAATAAAATTGTTGTGGCGTTCATATCTGGAATTTGTATGCGCGTTTAACGACTTAAAGGCCGTCAATTGGCTCTCAATGTTTTGCAATCTACCATGACGTAATCAAACCATGATGCATAAGAAGCATATCTAATAGACATAAAATTGTGCTGTCCAGAGCAGTTCTTTCTACCTAACAAGTATTTCAAAAGTTGTAAGCGAGTCTGTTTCATATCTCTGATACTTGCTTCATTATCTTAAAATGTGAAACACTCCCTTAACGGGTAGCCGTTAGAAAAGGAAAAATATAGTCTAGACACAATATGCACGCGTTTTGTCCAATATGGCATGATGATGAATGCTGGTAAAGCGACATTTTCACTTTGTGGAGGGCACCAACATAGCCAGATCCCGACTATAATTATGGATAAGACTCTTTGATGCTCAGATAGCGTAAAAATTAGGCGTCATCATGGATTCTACACCGTCGTGCACTTTACCCGCCAGGCTTTCTGGCATCTTGTACCTGAATATGAGTTGGCGCTTAAGACGGGTTTAGCGTTGGCGACCACCAGTAACAAGTTTACTTCCGCCCGATTACGCTAACAGTCACAGTGGAGTTTAAAGCCATGTTTGGACATTTTGCAAGCAATCACTTCTCGGGTGTGCAAGAGAAACAAGGTATACATGAACCACATTGGCTGGAGCAATGAGGAAGAGCCTTCTGTTTCTACGGCAGGTAACGCTTTATTACGTATATATATAGTATATATATATATATAATATATATATATATATATATATATATATATATATCCAAATGAATAGTCGATATGTATAGAGTGTCGTCGCCATAGATATGTACATCTATATATATATATTATATTAATATATAATATATATACACATATATATATATATATATATATATATATATATATATATGTGTATATATATATGTATATACATTTTTGGGGGTCTCAGAGCAGAGTAAACTTGGATCGCCTTTTATGTGGTGAAGACGAAAGTCCCAATGTGTTGTGGCTTTTATGTTCTTTATTAAAATGATTTATGTCTAATCAATTCTAAACGTGTTACGTCGTTTTTACAGCCATGCTGCTTTAGTGTTATGGATGTTGTCGAACTAACTTTGCGCAATGAATGGTCGTTCGTCTGCATAGGCCTAACCTGACCAGATGCACGTGTTGCATCGTGGCCGATTCATTACCCTCATCTTAGTAATGCCCACTCTCCGTGTCATTGTCTGTCTGTCACTCGCCCAGAGTCTGTCCATTGTCCTGATCTCAGACGTGCCGGCAGCGATGAGGCACCCCACAGCGGCGCTGGTTCGAACTCGGCTGTGGCTGGCCCTTGTGTTGCGTCGTCCTCGTTAACTTTTGAGGAAGGGGGGGGGGCTCGTTAAGGTCAGATACAGGGGAGAAGT